ACGACAGCGGCCAGCCTCTGGAGTAGGGAAACTCTGTGCTTAAGCAAAACACACCTGAATTAACCCAAGCTTAACAGAAAGCATTAAACAGAACACACTGAACAACTCCACAGCCCTCAGGAGACTGTACTGAGCGCTGCTGCTTTTCCAGAGAGTTTTGCCATCCTGATGGCACGTTGCAGACGTATGCTGTGACCTGCACACCCCTTCCTCGCTCTGATGGGCGATGACATGGGCTGATCCCATGGGCTTGCTCAGCCCCACGAATCCCTAACGCATTAAGCTACTTGAGTAAACGAGGTACGAAGGGTACAGCAATGTAGTGAAGTGTTACAATACATCACACTGTGCAGGGCAGCCTTAAAACACGTGTTTTAAGTGTTCAGACTTAAGAGTTAATGCTAAAAGGCACTTCGGAGCATTTTAAAAACACTGCGTAGCAGTACGTGGCACTGCTCGGTCTCTACCCAGCGCAGTGCTCTGATGGACAGAGTCGCGACACCGGCGCGGTGCCGGTCACTGGCTGCCTGCTCGTCCGCCGGGGGCCGAGGGGGAACTGGAGCGGCAGGCGGCAGGCAGCGTATCGCTTTCACCTGCTCCTCGCTAGCGTTTCACAGCGTCACAGCCAGCCCAAGCGCTTGAAACTCACTTCACGAATCTGCCCAGGTCCCTTACGTCCCTTAGGCAACTGTCCAAACCTTCACGATCTTCTCTGCGCTTTAGAAAAAAGACGGGAAATAACTCGCTGACAAGCGGAAGATGAGAACGTCACTGTCGTGCAAGCAAAGCAAAAATGCAAGACCACATCAGAGATGTCAACAAGCACGCGACTCAAGGTCCCCAACGCAGCATCGTTAAAGAATTTCTTCCTGTGCTAAATAATGCTCAAATACAAAGTTTTGTAATTGCACTTATTTGCATACTACCAAGCAATACCTAAGCCTGTAACGCGTAGAGAGTCGATGCTAGATATCACAGTGGAAAACAGGGCATTTCTGCCTTGCCCCTCAAGAAAAGCCCAAGCACCCATAGAAATTACTACTGGTTTTTCTACCGTGGAAATTCTGGGGTTTTCTTTTACAGAGAAATTAAATATAGAATAGGGTCAGAAACAAAAGCCCTAGGTAGCATTTTACATTTCAGATGTTTAACTTTTTTCCTTCTTTCTCATACCGTGTCATTAAGTGTTTACAAGGATGATTAATGACTGCGGCTGCCAACTCCGTTAATGAAAGGCATCTCCGCTCAAAGCTGCAGTCCCGCTCTTGGCAAGCGCGGCACAGAGACAAGGTTACCCCGACACCCTCGCGCTCCGCGAGCCCAGCGCC